CTCGTGTTCAGATTTCTGGAACGTTTCTGTTACTGGTACATTTGCAGAACCTAGAGGTGAAGATCCAGAACGTTTTGTACTAGCAGTGTTCCCAGCTGAACAGTAACGGTGTTAACTCGCTTGTTACCTTTTGCTTGTTTATACAGGACTCCACTGAACAGCAATTGTTACAGTTTTAGGTTTTAAATATGCCAGGCAATGTGGTTTCCTCACTGGGAGGCTGATGCAGATCACCGTTGAAGATTCTCTTGCAATATCCAGTCTAAATTGCCTTTTTTTCATTCTATAGTTGTTTGCAGCTCAGTCTTCCTGGTTTTTTTTGTACAAAATGCCCCAAATTGAAAGAATGCGAAGGAGTGTTTTTCTGTAAGAAATTTCTATCTGATTTAAAAATATATAGGGGATATAAGAGCAGTTGGAAGAAAAAAAAAATCCTATCTTATTTAGCAGCTTTGTAACAGCCTAAACTGATCTAAATGTTGGCTTCTGCTTTTTCGTGCCGCAGTTGGTTTTCAGCAGTAGCGTTCACCGGACCTTTCTCTGAGCCATTCATTTCTGTATGTGGACTAGGTGAAAAAAAGTTCACTTTATTTTTGAAAGATCAGGTTTTGCTGCCTTAATGTGCTGAAAAGTCTCAGCAAAGAATCTGGCAGCCTGTGTTGCCTTGGGATCAAGGTGTGAGAAAATCATTAGCTGTGGATAGTTCCTACCTCTGTTACTGTAGACTTGAAAAGAATCGTCTGCCTTCTCGCACACGATGCCATGGCTGCGTGTTTGATTTAATCCAGTGTTGGACCATGTTTCTTCTGAGAAGAGTGGTGTCTTCTTCCCCTTGTACCTTCCCTGGGTGCTTGTTCTCACGTGCTCCTTTCTGCCTTGGACGAGTGTTAATGCGGCGTGACAGTGACTCGAAACGTGGTTCCATGGGGAAGATGAGCCTATAGAACAGCTAACCGTGGCCTAAAGGGGCAGGTTTTGCTCCCAGCCTCTCACATCTGCTGGCTCTGGCACTCATCAGATCTCTCTGCCAGCTCAGTGGAGGGTTTTCACGTGAATTAATTCAGGGAAAGGACCGAATGCGAGATAGGGTGGAGGGGGTGATATGGCACCATGCGGCTAGGACCGCAGCAAAGGAGGAGGAGGAAATGAGCGGATGCATCTTTCGGTCAATTATTTTTGTTTGGATTGTGGTTATTTTTCAGCAAAAAAAAACGGCACAAGAGCAGGCATTGCTGCCTGCCCCATGTGCTGCAGGCTTGTGCTTGAGTGTAGTTTGTGCGAGCCGGCCCCAGTCTGTCACAGTGTTCTTGTGTGCTGCTTCAGGCGCAACAAATCCCTGATAATTTTGCTTTAGAAGTAGCGTTCCCTTTTTTTTGACAAGTTGCTCTGGGAGAGCTGTGGGTGATTTCCCCACCCTTTTTTTACTTTTTTCTAGTGGAACATTTGGATGGTTATATTTCTTTCTACAGTGACGGGTGCATCATCCTTATGTCGGATGATAAGTTTTACTGACATTTCAGAGCTTTGGCTAAGTCGTCCTAGGTGCTAGATATGTACTAATAGAAATACTTTGTTTACCCCCACCTCCCAAGACTTTGTGACGCTGACTGGGTCATAACAGGTGCATGGGGAGTATGGATGGAGCCCTCTCATGATAGATAGCATTTTGAGTTGAAATAGGTTGTTTTGCACTGAGATGGTGAAGTAACTGTAATCCCTTTGCACTGGGCTCAACGTTTTAAGAGAGGATGAGAAATTTGGAGTCTCCTTTTCAATTCTTAGGTCTTTGAAGACATTTTTAGCTTATATTAAAAAAAAAACACACCTCCCCTCCCCCAAAAGAAAAAAAAAAACAAAACACAAGGGTTGAGTACAAAGTATTTCAGAAGTGTAATTTTCCCAGCAAAATAAACCCCTAGTTTTCGATTGAGGTGGTTTTCCAGCCTCTGTTATAAACTGCTGTTGCATCTAGATTGGCTTTCCAAGAAGCTAGAGCTCTGCATGGAAAAAAAAGAAATCTCACTGTGGGACATGGAGTATCTTTTACTATCTCAGTCTTTTATATACTTGAACGAATCTAAAGAAAAATTGGGAATAATTTTTATTTTTTTAACTTGAGTATAATCTGAAGGAGACATGACAGGTTCTAGAGCAATGTATAGCGAAACTTTGGCGTTGGAGTGTAATTAGTGTTTGTGTCTATTAATTCATCATCATTATTTAGATCGGTAGCGTGGCAGTATGCAGGTCTGGCCAAATTAGGAGAAGACTCCAATCTGATGGGCAGTGTTTTACTCTGTCCTGTGTAGTGCCTAATGACCTTGGCTGTGGTTTCCAGTCTTGCATCAGGCATTGAGTATAGCAATATACTGGCACGGAGGTCATTGTGTAGCTAGTGCCTGATCTTAGGCAAGGCTAAAGAAGCGGCAGCAAAATGAAGAATTAAGCAAAAAAGGACAAGGGAATTGAAAATGAGAGTATGCTTAAGTATGTATTGTCAAACTTCCATGCAGCCTGCAGATGTGAGATATTCTTTAGTTTCCTCTGCTTTAGGAGTTACCCTCAACCTGCATGGATAGTAGCGCCTCTACTGAACAGCCAGGTCTTACAGGTGACTTAGCATGAAGCAACAATTAAGTAATGGTATGATAAAGTAGCAGCGGCATTATTAGGGAGCACAAATTCGTATTAAAATTATTCTTGTTCAGAATAAATTTATTCTTGTTCAGAATAAAATTGTTCAGAATAAAATTATTCTTGCTTCAGACTAAGCATGTTTCTTATTGACTTACTCCCTCAGCAGATTTTTTAAGCTACATCAAATCTGTCTTCCCTGAATGCAAATTATAAAGTGAGCACAAGTTTGTACTTAACATTTAAAACTTTGCCCATCTTAACTTATATTTCAGACTTGGTGTGGAATTTTCAGACAGCTAAATGGGACTGTATGAATCTCTTATTCCTTTACGTTCAAAAATGTCGTGCTCAATAGCAGAGCAAGTTTCAAAAAGCTTATCCAGGAATACAGGGACTGTTGAGCTATAGTGATACTGTCCTTTCAGTTCTGCCAGCTTCCAAGATCACCGATTGCATTAATTCTGTGAGGCTTAATGTTTGCTTGAAATGGAGCAAAGAGAAGTATTTTGGTGTGAGTGCCTCTTACCCTCTCCATTTGAAGTGTTTTGTTTGAGTTTGTGTTTTGGCCTTTTAAAAATGGATTTATGTTTATAGTCACTTTCTTGTTTTCAGCTAAGCCATAACATTAAAACTGTGACCTTACGACCAAATGGTAGAAAACTGTGCTGCCTGATGCTAACACTAAAGGATACCAGCTTCCTGACAATTGATAAGGTACCATTTAAAGATGCAAACGAAATGCGGATGTATTTGGATGCAGTCCATCAAGACAGGGTTCATACTGGTAAGTGCAGTTGTTGTAAATCACATTAATAACAGTTTGGAGAGGGGTCGGTGCTGTGTTTTCTTTTCTTCATCTTTAGCCGTTTTGTCCTCCTTGTGTTACTGACTTTCTTTGCATTTGTGTAAATGCTTCTTTCTGGCCCTGAACCCCAATTTTTGTTATATACCTTTCTCATAATGTACCTTTGTCATGCTGAACAATAAGCAGAGATTAAACATGTAGGAATTGTTTATGTTGTAAGTATGTTAGTATTTGAAAAACTCTCGTCTGTTTATCACGCATACATAGTCTCTTTCCTTTTTACTTTACCTCTTATTTTTTGTTCTTTTTAAGGATAGGAACTTTACTGCCAACTGAGTAGATGACCAATATAAGGGACATACATAAACATGTGCTTATGTCTGTGCGCTCAGAATGTTGTACTGACTGTTGGCAAGAAATCTAGTGTGTGCCTTCCAAAATCAACTCCAGCTAAATAACATCTTACAAATAAGAATGCCAATCAGTTAAATGACAACCAAATCAAGTGTTGTGTACTTTTCCTGTCAGCTGGGAAACCCTCTCAGGGATCTGGCAGCTTTGGAGGTGTGCTGGGCAGCAGGACCACACAGAAGGAAGCTAATAGGCAATTCTCATATATAGAGAACCAGGTTTGTTTAACTGTTCAAATTTTTCCTCTCCTTTACTTCTATTTCATTCATTTCCTCCTCTCATTCTCTTATTGTATGTTGTAATAGCACTGTAAATACTTATTTTGCATCTAAAGTCTTTGTAATCTAGAGGGCTTGGAATAGGTGTATACAGAGTGGTTGGCAATGGTGTGTCTTGCTCGTGAGGAGCCATGTATTCTGTATGAATAAGAAAGGTCAGTGTCTGGCTGTGGAAGACAGAATGTGGTCTTCATGCCAAGTTATCAGTTGGGCAGAGAAGAAGCAGAAACAGAGGGAAAGTACATGATTAGGACTTGCTTCTCACATAGTTCTGAGTATCTCTTTGTCTATACTGATCACCTTATGTAGCAGCTGAACATGTTATAGTCAGCATAGGTCTTAATGAGTTTAGCAGACTTCAGCCAAATGTATATATTGAAAAGCTGCTGACCCAGTTTTGTATCAGAATGAAGTTACTGAATTTGTGGCATTCTGCTCAGATTTTTGTGTAAATTTTGTGGACTTTTCTCCGAAAGTGGTGTTCCTTCAAAATATTTTTGTTCTTCCTTTTCTCCCTGCATAACACAGATTTCACGGTGTATCTACTGGCTTTAATTTACTTTGTTATCTCTGTGAATGTACTTGTATTACTGCCCCGAGGGAGAATATTTTTGATGTTGTCCCAAAACAAATTTTACATGTTGCTTGAAGGCAATCTCAGAGCAGAAACTCTAAGGCTGTGTATACAGTGGTAAGATTAGACATATTTAGTTTTCACGTCTAAAATTGACCAACATTCCTTAGTCAACCAGCTATTAGCTCTTTCCATTGCATTAGATGTGGCGCTTGCTTGGCCCAAGGCTGTCAGGGCACTGTTCTAATTGTGTGGGTTTTAATATGGCTTGCTTTTTTAATATGGCTTGCTTTTTTTTTTTTTTTTTAAATACCACCCAGGATTGATCTGGGGATAGTTAGGAATTATGCCTTGGGTTTTTTAATGTCAAAGCGTGTAAAGGAGGTTTTAAAAACGAAAGTCCAACTGATTTAGCGTTGGAAAATGAGACAGGAAATTGGTTACTGCAGTAGAGTTTCATTTATGTGACTTGCATCGATACAGTCAAAATTTAACCTATGTCTAATTAGTGTTAAACTCTCTTAATCTATTACAAGTAGCATTTTTCTGCTTTTGGATGCTACACTGTAGCAAGTAAAGCAGTGGCGTAAATGCTATATTAGACTAAAGATGGTCGTGTTTTTCACTGTTTCGGTTGTCTCCCTGGCCCCCTCCACTTGGGTTTTGCAGACTCCTCCCAAAAGAGTGACCGTGGAAAGTAAGGAGGAAAATCCATTTCGCAAGGTGCTGGGTAGCCCAGCGAGAGCGTCCGTTAAGAATTCCGCTGGAACTGGAACACCTAGCAACAGGGTGAACATTTCAGCATCTCCTGCGTCATCAGCCCCTCACAGAACGGGCTTGTTGGAGAATCGGTAGGAGTCTTGTCCTCTTACTGTGATATTGTAAACATTTAGCTCTTAATAGAGCTGCAGGTGGAACTCGGTACACCTAGAAGTAAGAAGGGAATATGTTTCTTCCTCTGGTTTTGCTGTTACTTTTAACAGGATGTTAATACGTGCTTTTCTAGCCTCTGGCTGGTACTGGCACTAGAGCTTTATGAACAACTTAAGAGTTGGGCAAACCAAATTCTTCTCTATATGCTATGTTATAAAAGTGGAGATGGTGGACGATAGGTGCAAAATGCACAGAAAGCATTGAGGAGTTCTGGTCAGTTGGAAGAGGATCATTTACTAGCCTTTCTGAAAGAGTGACCACTGCAAAAATTTTCTGTCATCAGTGAAAAGAGGAAAAGAACACAACCTCCTGGTTCAGAAATGAGTGAAGATTATCCCAAAGAGAATGATTCTTCAACGTAAGTAACCGTTGTTTCTAGTTTCTGATTTTAAACTCTTCGTTTGTTTGTAAAGGTAAATTTTTCTGAAAAGAATGCTTGGGTATTTCCTGTCTCGGCAACATGGTACAGGCCAGCCACTAGTCAACTTCTGAACACACTGGGTGCTTGAAATGGGGTTTGCGTTCAGGATTAATAAGGGAAATACAACCTGCTCTGGCAGTTGATTTGCAGGAACTGGCACGTGCAAATTTTGTGTCATCTTCTTTTGTCGGTTTAGTCAGGATTGTCATATGTGCTATATGTGTATAGCAATAGGTACCTTCTTTATTGAACTTGCTTTGACCCTTTTCAAAACAAAATTCATAAAGGGAAATTGCCATTTGGAGAATAAGCTCCATGTGTTTGAAATCACATTTAATCATAAGTAAGAAGGCTTGTTTAAATGAATTGATTAAACTTATCTGTGAGTAAAGTTTGACTGTTCCATCTTCAAGTCTTAAAGGTGATAGGAGAGAAATGCTGTAAGACAAGTTGTAAATATCAAGCAGGAATATCCTGTATCTTCTGTAACTGCACTGACTTCCACTCTTGTTTATCTGTAGGAATAACAAAGCCTTGAGTGATCCAGCATGGAAGTACTTGAACAGTAGCAGAGAGAAACAGTTGAATCTGAAGCAGGCAGAGGAAAATAGGACATCAGGTAAAAAAATGAAAGTAAAGCCAAATGATACCTGGCTTTGACCAGTACGATTTTACCCCTTTGATATTAGTTTAGAAATTTGCTGCAGAGGTGTTTTTCCTAATCTTCTTTCCCTGTGGCACTAGCTTTCTTGCTTCCTACAGAGCCATATGTGAGATGCAAACAACTTGCCTTCATTTTCAAAGCCTATCCTGCTCTCGTGCGACCCTGACCTTTATACTTGGGTGCTGATGCCAGCCCATGTGCCGGCTTGTTTGAAAATTCAACAAGCAGCTTCAAACTTTGCTCTAAGCTGCCCTTCCCCTTGGGAGGGGATTCCTGTAAACACCTAAGGATTTCCTTTTTGCTTGTTTTCTTGTTTATTTTTAAAGCTCTCCTTTGCTGTTAATGCCCACAGGAATTGTAGGCTGGGTTTTGTGCTGAAAATGTGTACTATTTGCTTTTAATTCTCTGTCTCTTCCCCAGAACTTAGAGGGGGAACTCTTTGGGGCCAGGACTTTTGTTCTGTTTGTACCAAAGTTCTGTTGGATACTGGTGTGTGACAAGGTTTTACAGACAATGCAGAAATGTTGACAGTATGTACATAAGCTAGTAGGCAGCACCGTTCTTCAGTTTTACTAATAAATACTGAGCCTCTTTCCCCATAAAGGGGAATGCCTTCAAGATCTTGGTTTTATGGGGAATGTTGCTGAAGGCATTCTTTTTTTGGTGCAGCTCTGACAGCACAAACACGTTGCTGGAGGAGCCAGTAATGTGAATGTTTATCTCTGAATGAAAATCTGGTTTGTTCTTTAGAGTCAAAGTTAGAATCTGTGAGTGCATACCTGCACGTTCAGGTAACAGTATTGCAAAATTCCTTCATGTATCTGCATTTTTGAAAGTTGCATGGCTCAAACCACTTCAAGCTGGGATAGAAGCAACTGTTTATTCATTACCCAAACTAAATTACACTGTGATTCACTGTAATAGGTATTTTTTTGACTCTCGAGCATTTCTTTTTATGTGGCACCATCTGAGGCATTAGAGTCTCAGGATCTGACACAATGCTATCAGAACAATGAAACAGTCATATTTTGCCCCAAGCATATAGTAATTTACTGTGGAATTTGGAGTGGGAAGAGAAACTGTTTTCACTTCTGCATATTTACCCTGAATTTTGAGAGCGCTGTATTGGAAGTCGTTAGTGAATTTTCTGTTATGTGTATCTTGTACATTTGAACAAGAGGTGGATGTTTATTATCTTTCAGATAGTTAAGACCATTCAACGACCTTTTTAATGTTTTGTATTGCAATTTGGATTTGATGGAGATCATGGTATTAAATTCAGTTAAAACTCCAGCATGTCTTTACTTACATGTGATTAATACTTGCATTAGTATTTCTAAGTATGTGTGTTAGTACTTTCCCAACCAATTCTGAAAAACAGTATTTGAGGATTTTTAAACCTTTTGACTAAATACTTTTAAACATGTTGTATATTGTATAAATAGCTGAGTTACCTGGAACAAAATGACTTGCCTCTCTTTCTGTTTTTCAAGGCATTTTACCACTGCAGTCATCATCCTTTTACGGTAGTCGGTCCTCATCAAAAGAGTACTCCACTGGCAGTTCCACCCTGGACAGGTAGGACTGATTCACTAGCATGGACTGTAAATGACAGCTCCTTCCCAGGCATTAGGATCTTCAGTTTCCTGTGTGTTTATCACATGGTATATAGCTTATATGCATAAAATGTGTGTGTGTGTATATATATATATATATATATATATATATGAGACCTTTTTTTTTCCCCAGGTATTCAGTGTGGCTACAATTGCTCTAGTTACACCTACAAACTCTAGTTACTTCTTGCAATAGATAGACCTTCTATAATCACTCAAGTCTGTTATAGTCATTGTGAATGACTGATCCAGATGACATCTGAACTCTAGATGGTTCAAATTCTATATAGACTTTGGAACTTTAGACTGAATCCTTGCTTCATTTTCCCCAAGTGGATAAATGGCATGAAACTCTATATTGTAATAACAGTATTTTATTTGATTTTATTTGAATCCTGCTGAGGTTGGGATTCTTCTGTGTCTGATGCTGTGCAAGCAAACTGTCGGTCTCTGCCCTAGATAGATGAGATACAAGATCAAGGAAGAAAAGAAGCATTGTCCATGCTTTACACGAGGGAATGAGGTCCAGAGTGATTAGGTTACAAGAACAAGAGGCTGAAAATGAAGACTCTGGCCCAGATGTGAATTTTAAGCATATCTTAGGAGTGGCGATCTCATGCTACATGATTGTTCTTCCTCTCATCGTACAGGGTGGGGAATTGTTAAATATCTTAAAGACGAAAGACTTGGTTACACTGCGTGCACACCTGTGGATGTAAGGAAATTTATCCAAACAAAGTATTTAAGTGCTCTGGAAAGAAGTTCTCTCTCTCACGCCTCTTCTGCATTATGATACATGCCAGTTATCTTGTGTGGCTTTACCAGTCCTTGTCTTCTATAGTGATACAATTCCAGTGTCACGGACTATAGCTATTTAAGGAACAGCATTCTTTTCCTTTTATCTTTTTAGGTCTAGTGTGTCCAGCCAGACCCCTTCAGCCAAAAGAAGCCTGGGATTTCTTTCTCAGCCTGCCCCTCTTTCTGTGAAAAAAATGAGATCTAATCAAGATTACACAGGGTGGAACAAACCCCGAGTGCCCCTTTCCACCCATCCTCAACAACAATTACAAGGGTAAATTTAGTTTTCTTTATCTAGCATGCACACTTTGATCATCAGAACATGCACATTCTTGTTATAATTATTGAATAAAAAAAAAAGAAAAAGTCCTGAATTTAATGAACACTGAGACAGGGAACACTTTTCCTAGTTTGGAAAATATATATTCTTAAATTCACTTCCTGAGAATTTTAGAGATATAATAATTTCAGGTAATTCATGTTCCTTTCTTACACTTTCATGATTCATTTCTCTATCTTGTGTATATACACGCATTTTTTAAAATTTTGATTGTAGGAACTCATGGGTGCTTTCCTGATAAATGCCGCCTGCCATGAGTTTTCAGTTTAGTCTGAAGGGCAGGAGGACAGCTCCAGTAAGAAGCTCTGTGGGGAGTGGCTGGGGTGAATGTCCTACATGTTAGTAGTGCCATGTTTAACACTGACATGTTTACACATCGACATACATACCATGTTCAATCTTCTTTTTTCAGATTTTCAAACTTGGGAAACACCTGCTATATGAATGCCATTCTACAGTCCTTGTTTTCAATTCAGTCTTTTGCTAATGATTTGCTCAAGCAGGGTATCCCATGGAAAAAAATCCCACTCAATGCACTTATCAGGTAAAAATTCACTTTCTGGGGGGGGGGGATATTTTCTCTTCCATTACTGAGAAACTAGTTTTGTAATACTGAAGCACCTTTGTAGAAGGTAATTTGCATGTGTAGATAATAAAATAAATCCTAGAGCTCTCTGTATTTTGGAGTTTTACTTTAGAAATAGAAAGTAGGCTCTTAAAAATCGCAAAGCTGTGTTACAGGCAGTCTCTTGTATCTGCTGCTGTATTTCTCGTGGCAGAGTGAAATGCGTCAGAAGAAAATGCAAGACACTGCAAAATAAATAGATGGAGAATAACAACTTTTCAAAACATTACCAGCAAGGGTTTAAGCTGGTCAGTGACTTCACCTGATATGTGAGGGCTTGTGCCGTTATGGAAAATATCCTTTGTCTAGTAGCTGTGGAGAGTGTTCGTGTTTGGCGTACTTCATCCTTTTCTAAATTCACCTGAACTCTCAGTTTGGTCAAACCTCATGTCAAGAAAGTCCAGACGTTTCTGTAATATGTAAAACTCTCTTTTCTCTTTGAAATTTTGGATTCCTGTGCCATTCAGATTCCATTGTATGTCTGTCAGAAAGACAAACTGCTGTTTGCTCTATGTACCGCACTCTCTGCCATTTGGGATTTTTATGATATATGCCTTTGCGTACCTCATTTCTTTTCTCTCGCTAAACAAGATTCAGGATTATCAGAACCATTTCTGTTTCCATTTCATAGTGGTTTATATCTTTTGGGGTAATTTCTATTTTTGCTGTGTCTTCTTGAACTCTTCCTACCCTACTCGGGATCAGAGGTTGTTCCACGTGCCTCTTGAAACGTCCTTTCCCTAATTTTTTTAGAAAGACCTCTGCAGCTTGTGCCCCATATACCTAATGGTAAACTGTGTGGGTAGAGCTTCTGCCATGGTACCTCTGATGGAGGGCCGTGCCTGATCCTGTGCCGAAGTACAGCAAGGCAGAGTTGATACTCAGTAGCATCTACTTGGCTTCTGTTGGTTTTTCTGGTTGAAAAGCAATTGCCTGTCAACTGCTTTGTGGTGAACAAGGCATGTTTCCTAACACGCCTCACTCAGCCGTTGCAGAGGGTTAGGAGGGCGCACGCTGTTACTGTAGCTCAGCAGAACAGCAGAAACTTGTTGAGCTGCCGTAAACAGATCAGATTCTTTGGGTCACTGAGTATTAGTTGTTGCTTTCGAGTAGGAGGGGATTGCACAGGTCTTTCCTGTCTTTTTTTTTTTCTTTTTTTTTTTGGTGTGTGTGTCATGGAACATGACATCTTCCCATCACCTTCCCATGTACGTACTATGACCAAAACTGTTGTGGCTGGAATGTATTAGGTGTGTATTTCCTGTGAAATTGTAAAGCAGTTGTAAAAGATAACTAAATCACAATAACTGAGAGGCACAGGTAAAGTCAATTTCACCAGTTTTTTAACAAGGTTACCAGTAACACTAAATGTAGTGTGAACCAAGGAACTCCTCATAGCACTTTTTGTTACAGCTTTTTTCTACTCTGTTGTAATGTTTTACTGCCAAAAGAAGTAAGGCTTGAAACTGAGTGGAAATTTAAAAATAAAAAAAAAAAAAATAGTAACCAGTCTGACCAGGCAAGTTGAATTTAATAATTTTGTGTTGCTTATTTTGGTGGCACGTGATTTCATATCTCCTATCAGTACAAATGTTTTCAAAAAGCATTGTGTTTTGTTTTTTTTTTTCTCATTGTAAAATATATAGCAGAAATAAGTTTCTAGAACTTTATAAGGCTCTTTTCTTTACCTTAAAAGATCGTGGAATTTTTTTGTTCATTTGGGTCCTGTTCCAATGATGGCCTCAAATGAGATTTCAAAATACTTGAAATGGAAAAGGTTAATTATATATGAGAGATTTTCATAGAGAACCCCTAAACCACTTAGCACAGGAGAAGAGCTTTTAGAGACTCTTAAAATGAGGTATCATGAGGTTTATTTTGTTTCTCTGAAGTCCTGGAAAGCCAATCAGTGTTTCATTGCATTGACTTCTGCAGACGCTTTGCCCATCTGCTTGCTAAAAAGGATGTCTGCAGCCCTGAGGTTAAGAAAGAGCTGCTCAAGAAGGTGAAAAGTGCCATTTCAGCTACTGCAGAGAGATTTTCTGGGTACATGCAGAACGTAAGTACCATATTGTCTAGAAACAATTGTGTGTAATTTGTTCAGTGTTTGGACTGCATTGAACTCCTGTCAAGCTGCAACTCTATTTGACAGTGACTCGAGCTTTTGATTGAATGACAGCGATTGCCTGCTGTTTGTTAGAACAGAACTGGCTTAGTATTGCTGAATGCAATGGACTAAAACATAATTTCCCCAGTCTGTGTTTGAGAGAAAGATACTGGGTGAAGTAGTACACAAAATCACTCTGATGAGTTTTACCCCGTTTCTAGGATGCACATGAGTTCTTGAGCCAGTGTCTGGATCAGCTGAAGGAAGACATGGAAAAGTTAAACAAAACTTGGAAGAGTGAGCCAGTCCCTAATGAGGATAACTCGCCTGGACGGGCTTCTGATGATCTCTCAGCCACCAAAGTTTATACATGTCCAGTTATCAGTAACTTAGAGTTTGAGGTTCAGCATTCTATCATTTGCAAAATGTAAGTATGCTTGAGAGCTTTTCTTATACTTACCTTAAAAGAGTGGGAAATGTTTCTGTCTTACGTGACTTCATCTGCAGGCTATAACTAGAGCTATGTTTTTTCCAAAGCTAGATATTTAGAAAACGTTCTATAGTCTAGAAATGCTGTAAACCTCACACCACACTGTCTGCTGCTACAGGCCTTCTTTGAACAGTCTCGTACCATCATTACATATCCAGTGGAAAGCCTCTGTGCTTTTCTTTTTGTGTACCGGTTGTATGACAATAGAGAGAAAAAGGGGCTTCAGCCAAGTAATATTTCATCTTTAAAAAAAAAAAAAAGGAAGCCATGTTTTTACTTTGTTCTTTCTAAGGGCTTCCGGGGAATGGCATTTTCTTCTGTCTCTAGGTTATTGCAGAAAAAGATGTAAACCACTATGTCTGGGCATTCGTTGTGTGTGACCTGTGCAGCAGATTCCTATACGGGATGCTTGCATTCCACAGAGTTTTCATGAACACAGATATTGGGGAATATTACTTTGTGTGTACTGCATTCGTTCCCTAAAGTAATTATAAGTAAATTGCATGCAGGTAATAATTATTGAAGACAAATGACTGTAGGGTCTTTTTTTTTTTTTTTTTTTCCTCCAAAAAAGCATAAGAAAATTGAGTTGGGTTTTTTGGGTTTGGTTTTTTTTTTTTAGATGGACTCTGCTGTTTTGTTTCTAAAAACAGTTTGAAAGTATTTCTAGGCTTGTCCTTCTTCTGGGCTGGGCTCACTTCTTTTCTCCTAAGAATGCTGAATGAAGAAGACATGTTCAGCTACATAGCAGTCACTTTGATTTCCTGTATACCTGATCATTTGCCTCTCCAAAACAGTCTGTGGTTTTTTGTTCTCACCCTTACACAAATGTTTCTTTCAACTTCTAAAGCATCAAAGTGAAATGCCAAAATTCAACTTTGTCATAAGCATCACACAGTTTCATTTTGATGAGTAAAAATAGATTGATCAAGAGGCATATATTTACTGGGAAGTTACTATAGCCTAAAAAATATAAGTTGTCATTAATTTCAAGAATATTTTTCATCAGACTTACGTAAGTGTGTTTCTTTTTTAGGTGTGGTGAAACAGTCACTAAACGAGAACAGTTTAACGACCTCTCCATTGACCTTCCTCGAAGAAAGAAATTGCTTCCTTCCCGATCGATCCAGGACTCCCTTGACCTCTTTTTTCGGGTGAAGAGTTTTGGGTTTTTTTATTCACTGCGGAGTATGTGTAGGCTATGTACCATATGGAAATTTTGATTGTATAGCTGATTATTAGTTTCTATGACAGTGATTGCAAGCAAGTGGAATAATTAACTTTTTGCTTTTTTGAGGTTTGTACATTAACAGTATACAGGAGTTTTTATTGTAAAATGCTGTGCAGAAATTAACTGATCCTTACAATACTGCTGTGAAAGAGGTAAACTTCCCCATTTTGTGGTGGAAGAGTTGAGGCATAAACAAATACAAAGGGAGTAGGGAGGCTGTCAGATTGAGATAATCACTCAGGAATTGCTGCTTCCTCTCCTGGGCTAGGATGCTTCATCAGCTTATGTACTGGCCTAAATTAGCATGGAGGAAAAAGGTCATGCAGATATAATAATTAAAAAAATAGTTGTAATATGTGGATGCTCATCCTGTAAGTAGAGCTTCAAGGTGAGGTTTCTGAAAGCTGAAAATGAGCCTTACCTCTGTGAATTAGTGTTGTATTTTGTTGTATCTTGAGACAGACCTGTGGTTTTTCTCTGTTTACAGATAGTGTTTTCAACCGATAGAATAATTGACATGCTTATTCTTCTAAAAGCTGGTGGAGGTCTTAAGATTAAAAAAATTCTGAAAATTATAGTGGTGTCATTTGGCCTCACTTAAAGAAAAGGACTGTAGAAATGTTTGATGGCTAAGTCATGTAATTTCAGCACAGTGATCCTTCCCCTTTTGCTCTCTGTTCAAAACTCTGGTGCAGCACATCCTTGACAAGTTTAGATGAGGATAGCTTTTCAGGAACAAAGTTGAGGTTTTGAACAAGACAGAGAAAACTTCGTGGCAAATTATCCTTCACCAAAGGTTATTAGAAAACAAAACAAGAACAACCTGTGTTTGGGAGAGAAACCTGTAAACCTTGCAAGATTGTCCCCTCTCTTTGGAAGCTAATTTGTCTCAGCTGTGGCTAACTCACTGGTCTGCAACAGACTTGCAGGAAAAATTCCGCCTGTGTTAGTGGATATGTTGTCAAATTGTACTCTCTGCTACCTGTCCTCTTATCAGATGCCATCCTGTGAGGTCATGTTGAAGGTGATTATAGTTTTAAGTGTAACTGCTGTTTCGAAGAGCTTCTGTGACAGCCAAAAGCGATGTGCTTTCTGTTGAGATGCGTTTGATGTGTCTTTTGTTCCACTCGCCACTTTTCTGTTCTCTTAAACAGGCAGAGGAGATTGAGTATTCCTGTGAGAAGTGCAATGGAAAGTCTGCTGTTGTCACACACAAGTTCAACAGACTTCCCAGGTAAATGTTGACATCTGTTCCCCTCTTTCCTGGTAGCACGTATTACAAAAGCGCAAGAAAAAGTCCCTCGAAGAGTAAAGCTGGGAAGATGAGTAGGACAGCATGGGAGAAAGATGCAGGTGCAGATGGTAGTCTCCATGCTGTTCTTCAGTTTCCCTCTAAAGAAGCTCTCTTGGGCACCCTCTGCAACACTTATTTCTTCCTCCCTATCGCTATGCAAGGAGGGCTGAGTTTTCCCCTTTTCTTGGGGTTTCTGGGATGTGAGGGAAGTGGAAACAGTAAACATATTCTGGAAGTTTAGTATTTTGTGCTCAGCAGACCTGATGGGCAGGACTGAGTTGGAGGCATTAGTGCCTGAAGGTAGATAGAGGGGTTTGCTTTGATCAGTTAATTCTTCCCATGCTGACACCTGTTTTCTCTCTCGGTAAGCATGGCACTTTGAGGAAGACGGCAGACGCTTTGAGAGTTAATGGCACGCACAGTAGTTTCTGACCTCATGGTTGGGTTTAATTCATTATTTAGAGTGGAAGTGCTTGGAGGTAGGGATCATTTTCTCATGGGATGTAAAGCTAAGTCTGTTGGATGACTTTCTGGCCTATGTCCTTGTCCCAGGTATCCTCATACTGAACCCAGTAACTTGGTAGTTAGCTTGCGTTCTGCTTAAATAGTGTGTTTATGCTAGCACTGCAAAACCCCTGTCAAAGTTTTTGAATATTAGCACAACATAAGTGATGCTACAGCTGCACGATCTAAATAGACAGTACAAAGTGCAGCATAAGGGAGAAGATTCAGTGTAAGGAGGCCTTTTCAGGCTCTTTATACTGTTGTGATCAAAAGCTTTTTCAAAGAGAAAGTGTCGTGACAGATAAACCAAGTACACATCTTGCACTGGGCACAGTTCCTTCTCGGTTTTGGGCAGCTGTGTGATCCCTCCATCGCAGTCTTTGAATATCTGGGAGTAATACGCTGGCATTCTGGCCTATAACGATAATATTTTGATTGCTTTCTGCATCTCACTGTGTCGTAGAAATAATGAGTTTGGTAAGAGCTCCTTGCTTCTGCTTGACTGAAGAGCAAGGTGATGCAGCTCAAAGCAGGAAGCCTCTTGAGTTGGCAGAGTCTGCGCTCTGCACCTTGCACAAAGTTGAGTGATGGACAGGAGAGTAATTACCTGCCTCTTGCCAGATGAGAGA